AGCTGCAGCAGCCTCTCTCTTTCTCCTTCCCCTTCTGTGCCGCTCCGCCTTTCTCCACACACCCCGGTGAGACTGGCAGCAGAAGAGCCCTCCTCTGCGGCGGACGAGGCGCAGCCAGATCCAAAGGAGAAAGGTAACGGCTGTGAAAGCAGAGGGGCTGGAGGTCAGGGGAGATGAAGGGGAACAGTGCTACAAAAACCTGGGTGCTGGGGCTGCTCCCTGTCTGTGTGCTGGGTTGAAGCTGCAGCTGAGATAGAAGAGTTTAGCCAGTTTGGCTGAACTGTAGTGGACTTCTGAAGCTCCAGTAATTACCTTCCAAGTGGGTGGTTTCCCGTATTAGATGGAGGGTGTGAGCTGGGAAGTACACAGCTAAAACGCTGTGGCTTTGGGGTATTGTAGCCTGCAGCCCCACGTCTAAAAGAACACGTTCCCTGTCGAGTTAGCACTGCTGGATTCTTTTAAAAATTTTCTCACAATCTGTCTTTTCTTCCCTGCTAGAGGAGAGCAGCCCTTCACCAGTCCTGGCCTTTGCTTCTTCTCCTCGACCCAACCACAGCTACATGTTTAAACGGGAACCTCCGGAGGGGTGTGAGAAGGTCCGGGCCTTCGAAGAAGCTTCGTAAGTATGAGGGGTTGGTGGCAGAAGAGAACTCGTGTGAGGACAGTCCTATGGGAGGGTGCTGGGGTGAGGTTGCTGCAATTGCCACCCCAACCCTGTTGTAGAAGTAGGGAGCAGCCTCCAGGAAAACACTCCTGACAAAAGCTCAGGCCCTGGTGAGAAGAGCTGAATTTCCAACCCTCGCACACGCTCGGAAGGGTCTCGTGATCCCTTGCAGTAGGTTTTTCTCAGCCGGCAGAGCCTCTTGAGGAGAAGCAGTCGTTCTCCTATATATGTGTGCTTTCAAAACAAACTAGGCTCTTCATGCCGCTCTGTACCTGGAGAATGGTCCAGCTCACAGCAGAGGCAGTTTCAGCTTTTAGTTGCGCTCTTTGAAGCATGCACAGCTCCGGGTGTTTTCCCTGGGGCTGCTCGGTGCCCTTGGGAGCGTCTGTTCCTAATCGTGTCCGCTCTGTCCCTCTCCTTCAGCTCCCCCAGCCCCGATCAGCCTTTTCAGCCTTCCTGCCCAGATAAGAACAAAGTGCACTTCAACCCCACCGGTTCTGCCTTCTGCCCCGTCAGCCTGGTGAAGCCTCTCTTCCCAAACGTGGGTTTCCTCTTCAGGGGCTTTCCAGCTTCTTCCAGCCCTGGCACGGGCACGTTTACATCCTGCCAGCCCACAGCCCCCGCCCCGTTCCTCGGGGCGCGGAAAGACGCTGTGGTAGAGAGCTTCAGCGAGGTGTCCAAGTCTCCTTCACTGAATTACGAACACTGGAAACGTGGCCAGCCAGCGGAGAGCGGTTGTCCCACAGCTCTCGGGTGGTGGAACGCCTTTGGGAAAGCTTGCCAGCAACAGCAGCTCTGGCTCCTCAGGGCGTCTCTGCCAGCCCGGGGAGACTCAGTGCCTCGAAGGTGGGATGTGACAGCCGAGAGGCAGCCCTGGGATTGGGAACCACAGCCGGCTTCCTCCGAGGATGATAGAAACTGTGAAGTACAGTGTGCGCCGGGACTCCTCCTTGCTGCTGGAGAGGCTTGTTTCTCCAAGCCTCCCCTGTTCCAAGCACTTTCCTGTGTTGAATTGTCTTTGTTTCCTGTGTGATTGTTTTGCTGGTGAAGAGCAGCCGGGCGCTGCTGCGGGGAGCGGAGGCAAACTCGTGCTCCGTGAAGGAGGGTTGAGCTGGGAGAGATTCCGGTTTGGGCTTCCGTAGCACCCCTCGCCCCTGCGGCTGTCTGGGATTACTGACCCCTGGGGAGTGGGATGGGGGGAGCAGGGGCCTGTCCCCACGGCTGCCCTTGGGCGTGTTGGAGCAGAAAATGTTGTGTATCTGCACTGTGAAGACGGCTCCTTTCCCTCGGAGCTCAGAGGAGGCTGGAGAAGCGGTGGATCCCTGCCCGCGCCTCCCCTGTGCATCTTCACCCCCTGAAACAAGGCTGGAGCTTTGAGAATGATGTGCTGAGCCGGGGAGGGGAGTGGAGGTGACAGTGAAGGCTTCCACCCGTCTGTGACGGAGGGTGAAGTGGGCAGAGGCACGAGCTGCCCCCCTGGGCTCCCTGGGGGTGGGCAGAGGGTCTTCCACAGGCAGAGGGGATGGACTGCAGCACAGCAAGGTCCCTGCTGGAGGGGGGGTTGTTGCTGCTGTAAAGAAACTACCTGCTGCTTCCCCGGGAGCTGGGACAGCCTGGCTGGGGCTGGGTCCTTGTGGGGGGGGGGGGATGGGGGGGTCCCGGCCCCCCTGAGGGTCTGTACGGAGCTGTGACAGTGGCTGGGCCGGAGGCTGAAGCGCTGCCGCGTCCAGCAGCACCGTCCCAAGGTGATGCCTTAAAAGCTGGAGCGATAACACGGGAACACAGATTGTAAAGCCTCTTGACAACAAAAGTATTTGATTTTGTGTTCTGTCGCAAAGGCTCTGGGTTGTATTGAAGCCGATTTTCTTGTATCTGATGTAGAAACTCTATTTTCTTCCAAAGACACTATTTTTGCAGCTGTTTGGAGTTTGTATTTTATGTATTACATATTGCAAAGCTTAAAGGAGGAACGTTGGCTTTGGAGTTCTTGTCTTGTGTTTAGAGGGGGTTTTGCGGATGCTGGCATTGCCAGTTCAGAGGAAACTAAATAAATATTTCAGGCATCCAAAGCGCTTCTGTGGGGTTTTAATATATGGAGTCTGAACTGGAGCGTTGAGCAGAGAGTTCTGGAAGCCGCGGAGGGGCAGAAGCGGTACCGGCAGATGGAGGCTGCGCTCGGGAGCGCCCCGGGAGCCC